GCTTAGCCCATGACTAGTGAGTCGTTGATAGGTAGAACGAGGGAAAGTTCGATGCCATCGAGTGGTGGGATTAACAACAATATTCTTAGGATAGTCATTGTAGAGGCATATCAGGCCGTCACAGCTACTCTGGCAAACTTTGTACAAGGTTTTTTCCCAAGGAGTAAGGATCCTAACAGAAACTGATGACCCCACTACCAACGTTCTCATAGCTTCAAGCACTGTACCAATAAGATAAGATTCATCACATACGGATACCAAAAGGACATCTGGATTACCTGATTGCCTACGATGCATCAGTTGTCTTTCTTGGAAAGCACGGCATTGGATTGTAGACTTCCATTGCTTCGATACGAACTTGAACTTGAGCAAGGTTTTCACATCAAGTCTCTCCAGAATATGCTCCACAACATCGTAGGGTAGCAAGTCCATCTTATTTTAGAATTAGGTAACGAACTGACTTAGCTTTATTAATCTCTCAAACTCACGTATTTATACAAGAGAGTCATCTGTCATCGTATAGGATAAACTCAAACACCTAAAATATAGGCTTTAAACTTTATCATAATAATATACGATATTATCTCAATACTCCCCTTCAAGTTGGAGTATTGTATATAACTTTAAAAAAAAGGAAAACTTTTCTCAAAGTCAAAGAATACAACAAATACTACTAAAAACCAGGACAAATGAATTTGACAAGCAAGCCTTAAAGGCCGGAAAGAACCAAATATACTGAAACTATATTTTCTTTTTCGTCCTGACTTGTTTAAGCGATTGCCGATTTGATTGTCTCAGTTTCTGCAGGACGCCACCATGACTTTTGAATCGAAAGTAAGCCTTCATTGTCTTTTGACTGCGTCATTTTAACGTTCCATTTCATGGATTTCACCATTTTCTCAACTTCTCCTAATGTTTCCATGTCGTCCCTTATGATGAAAGTTCCCTGTGGCCTAAGAATCCGATCAATTTCAGCCATTACCGATACCAAATTGCACCTGTAATGCAGAGAAAGAAAAGGGTTTGATTCATCAACTCAGATCAGATCATCAAGCTCTGCATTTTAGAATGAGGAGAACCGATGATGTTTAATACCTCTTCCTCAGGGTAGAGAAAAGGTGATCGGCATGGAGAAGGTCGTAAGTTCTGGGATAAGTGTTGAATGATTCACACCAGTCATGATAGATTCCAAACAAACCACGTTCATATATGATAGGAAGTGTATCTGGCGCATCCACAGGAACCACATTCATCACCCATAACTTCAGATCCTTCAATGCAGCAGCAAATCCTCCATAGACTGCTCTCATATCCATCACATTTCTCACATTAGACCAATCGATTCCCATGTCATTAAGGTATGACTTTGAGACAATAGTTTTCCACTTCTCTTGGTCTGCTGTGAAATCCTCTGGTGCAGGTTTTCCATAAACACCTTCCTGTGAATCCAACCACTCAGGTGCAGTCTCAACCCTCTCTGGCCACATGTTTGGCCATACTGCTCCTCGCTTTGACGAATCTTCTGTCACTTTATGCATACATGCCTCAAGTGGAACATTCCTAAACCACAAATTAAACATATGAGCATCAGATTGCATTGGTTTACTAGTAAATTGACGCAGGGTTTAGGTTGCTCTACCAGGCTGCATTTTGATCATCCGAATCCTTGCAGAGAGGTGGATCATTTTGAGGTCTTTTGTTGTAACATTTATTTGAAGTTGGCTTTTGGTATATGGCAGCACCAACCTCATTCAATTTGTCTTTCTTAATTGTCACCAGCTTCCAACACATTGCCTTTGTGAGCTTTGACATTGCTACAAGACAACAAAGGCCTCTCCAAAGTTAGAAATCAATTTTCAAAAGCCTATATTGAGGTAAAGAGCAAACAAAGAAGAAAAGATAAGATTTCTAACCTTTCCATATACCAGAATCTTCCTCGTTCTTTCTATAGACTGGAGTCGCTGACCAGACAAAGAAACCACCCGGCCTCAAAGCACGATTCAATTCCAAAAGAAGTTTACCACCTTCATTTCAAACAACAACAAAGATTAGAAGGTCATTCTATAGAACAGAAGTAAGGCAATTAATATAATGGGATACACTTTTACCTTCAATATGCCAAGGGACTCTACAACGAGCACAATGGATAAGGTCAAAAACAGAACCGGGAAAAGGTAATCTTTTGGTTCCCATAACATTTAACATTGCAGGAATACCACGTTCCAGCGCGAATTGAACTTGCGCCTCATGCTCATCCTTGGGAGCAAATGACAAAGCAAGGACGTCTCTTTCGAAAAGGTAACCACCAAAGCTAGCAACTCCACACCCGACATCCAATATAACACGGGTTCTATTTCCCCATGCAATAGCAGGATGTGACTGCAACAATATAATTAATTCAATACTTATCATGCCTAGTAATGAAAAGAATATGTAGCCATTATAAAAAAACATACCTGTTGGATGAAATCAATGTAATGAAGAGCACCATTCTTAAACTGAGTACCACCGCCAGGGAACGTGAGATGTTCACCACTCATCTTCACCCAATTTTGATGTCCCTTGATCTCTGCAAGCTTGGTGTGGGGAACATTGTTGTACCAGATCTGCGATCACACAACAGAAGAATAGATGTCATGGCAGATCATTTAAAGGAGCGCAAGCAGTTTTTTTCCAAAATCTGATGAAGTGTTCTTGTTAATTCTGGCGCATGACTATTTCATATGCAACCAGTTTTAAATAAGGAGTTTACCTTTTCCCTGCTCTTTGGCCACTTGATGGACCGCTTATAACCATCAGGCAGAGACACAAGACAACGAGGAGATTCCTCAGGACAATGGCGCTCGCGGTGTTCATAATGCATTGTAGTATGAAGCTTCTTGATAGCTTGCCAGTTGTCTAAGCAAGGGATATAGTCTGGCCCAGCAGTCACATTGCATGTTTTCCATCCATAGCTACTTTGGTCCTTAGATATTGAGGACTGTTGTGCTTTCTTCTCGTTCTGCGACTCAACCAATTGGGTTGACCAAGCTCCATCTCCAGTGCTAGACTCTTTTGTAATTTCCGCCTGGTCACCAGCTGGAAAGACATCCTTGCTACTCTTCTCCGTGCTTTCTTCAGTTTCACTAGCATTCTCTTCTGATTTTTCTTTGTTGCCATTACCATCCTCGGATTTGTTTTCTTCCGTACTCTCTTCCAGTTGCGTTTTCTCTTTCTGCTTTGCTTCGTCACTTTCGGATTCTACTTCTTTGACATTCTTCTCTTTCTCCCCATCTCCATCACCATTGCTGTCATCAGACTCCTTTTTCTCCTCTACTATCTCAGTTTTCTCGCCCGAGCTCTCATCGACCTGGTTTCCCTCAGCAGAGTTCTCAGAATCAGTCTTCACTTCATTGTTCTCAGTCACAGCCTCATTTTCCTCCTTTTCATCAGAAAAGTTCTTCGGATCTCGATCGCCTTCTTCTTTACTCAAGTCATTTTTAGTAACAGGTTCCACATCTTTAGCGGTATCACTTGAGGAATAGCCAACAGAATCAGCAGGGGCAGACCACGAAGACATGAACATCCATGCCCCAACTAAACAGAGGGAAAGTAACAGAACAATGGTAATGGTTAAACCATAGGTCGATGATTTCTTCCCGTCTACACGGGAATACTTCCCCATGGCCATGTTTGTCGAGTCAATGCAACTTTACTCACATCCACCTGAAAACCAATCACAAAGAAAACATGAAACTGGCGCAATAAAACCAGTAGAAATGTTAAGTTTAAACTAAAAACAAATCAGTCAAATTCTCTCACAAAGGATCTCGTTATTCAAACAATTTCAGGCACAAAAGATTTTTTTTTTGGTCAACACAAGAGATTAAATTCGTTAGCTTATATACCCAAATTTCTAAACTTGAACAGAGCAAGAAACAACACGTAGTTACAGTCTTACAGATCTAGATATGGACCAAACTAAAGAGTTACCTCTGAAGCATATACAAAAACACTCGGATCTTACTACTCTAAAAAAGAGTTTAACTTTAAAAACGGATCCAATCGAATAATTTTGTTCCACCAAAACATCATCTAATAAATTCATCAAAGCATTACCCAGAACCAGAAGCAATGAGACCGAAAGAGACTTGCTGGAAAAAATGATATTGAGGCAAAAAATTTACCAGAGGATATTTATGGTTACGTCAAAGATCCTCAAAGATTGCAACTTTGGGAAGCAAGCAGGATTTTTCGGATGGGATCTAGCAGAGAACGAGCTTAGTGGGTTGATTCCAGTGAAGCAAGCTAAGTGGGTTACGGCCTTAAAATGTCAATATCCCGTTGTCAAACAAAAAGTACGCTTTTTAAAAAAAAATTAAAAAACATTTATTTTCGTGATTTCTAAGATTGTTTATTCTCCCATGCCGCGTTAATCACCGACACAGATCTCTCAAGACTCGAGTTCTGACTGAAGAATAAAACTTCTTTACCAAAGTTTCTCCCCTATACTAAAAACCAAATCAAATTAATCAAAAGGGTGATACAGCTCAAGAACTTATACGAGTCATCACATTCACATGGGCTAAGCAATGGCTTCCTCCAAGTCTTATTAAGTCTTTAGGTCGAAAACCTCAACCCAGTTCATAGAGTATGATTCCTTCTCTGTTCCTCCAATAACAGATATCTTACCGTCTATAAAAGCAGACATGGCGCGCACCGTCATGTACGTTTCAGATTTCATATTGTGTGTGTGTGTACTCATGGAACTAATAAACCAAAAAATTTGATAGAGGGACAAATATGATATATAAACGAAAAATACGAGGAACTGTGTTCAGATCTCAAATCTACATTTCCAAAACGTGAACAAGAGAAATTTTATGTTTTTCCGTATGTTTGCTTAAAAACACTCACATTATTATTATTATTCTATCAGATAATAATGGTTGAGAATGTACAGAGAAGAATCTACAGACCATGAATCCTGTTTTGTCGGCTGTTCTTTGAGCTTCTGCTGTTCACTGTTTGCTATTTTATCCTCCTCCTGTTCTTCACCATCACAGAAAGACATTGATGAGACAAAAGGATACATATCCAAATATTCATGAACTACATACACTATATGAATCATAATAGCAAGAAAGATCAGAATTAGATCCTTAGAGAACAGTGGAGAGAATACTAGAAAACTCTGGTCCTTTGACCGCTGGGTAAAAGTTAAGTGATTACCCACATAAACAACATGGAAGGTAGCTTTCGAGTAAAGGAAACAAAGTTTCATAGACTAGAATCCTACAGTGCTGGGGTTTCAACGGTAGCCAAATAGGTAATGTGTTTAGATGACTTGCAATTTGTCATTGGTTCAAACCACTTTCAAACACTTCAAAGCAAGAACAAACATGACCAAGAAATAGTAGGAAATTACTTCTGAAAACGGTTTGAAAGAGGATAGAGAAACTGATTGAAACTCTTATGCTCAGCAATACTCTATACCTAGGAGCCCATCCAATATCCAAAATTCTTGCTCAAGCCTATGAACCCTCTTACTTAGCTTACTAGAATGTTAGGATGCTCAGAGTCTTAAGTGAAGAAGTTTTAGTGAACTCATTTATAAAAGAATCACTAACCTGTACTTATCTTTCAGATCCTGCCATTACGTCAAACAAACCGCAGCAACTCAACCACGAGGTTCGAACAACTGGCGGACCAGAAGGCAAAAGACTCTGCACATATGTTCAGAAGATTCAGAAAACTGAAAAATGACCTCAAGTAGAGGATGAGAAAGAAAAAAAGGGAAATGGTACCTTTTCTTTAGAACATTCTGGCACTTCATATTCTTTCACATTCTTGATTTCTTTGTTAGTTTCCTCAGCAGATCCTGGACTAAGGTTCTCTTCGTTTTCATCAGACTTCTGTTGGAGAGAATCCGAGTCTGTTGAGCTCTCAGCTTGCTCATTTTTGTCAGACATCACAACCATTGAGACAGAAGAACCCACAGGATTGACAGAATCAAGAGCAGGTGAAATTTCCAAACTTGAAGTACTATCAGCCTCTCTAGAAGTTTGAGTAAAATTTTCAGGACAGGAAGTGGGTGGTTTGTCCACACCGTTCTCCTCATGATCTGTTCCTCTTCCAACTACAATAACGTCTTCACCTTTCGCTCCATGTCCCCGAGCAACATCTGCCTCTTCTGCTTTCTCTTTAACAGTGTCCTTCCCTAAACCAGATAATGGAGGAGGTGATGGATCTCTTGTCCCAAATTCTTCATTTCCTTGAGAACCAGGGGAACTCAAATTGCCATCACTGTCTCTCTCATCTTGGCTTCCATGTTCATCATGTCCTGAGATGTTCAGTAAACTTATAGATCAATAAAAGACTTTCTCTTCGGAAGATAGGGAAAAAACATCCAGCACTTGTTGCAAGTATCCAGAAGAAATACACAGACAACTAAACACAAGTCATATCAAAAGTGAAGGATGTGATTAGAGTAAAGTCACAAACTTTGGAGCAATAATTAAACAGAGATTGGCTAAATCTCAAGACACGATCAGATTCATCCCTACCCACCAAAAAATCCCTATAAAGTAGGACCGAAGCATCATTAACTTCGTCTTGTATAATACCAAAAGAAGAAACTTTACCTAACACCAGAAACCCATTTGAGACATAAAATCCCTAAACAGCAACTAAAATCACCAAAACCCACATCTTGAGAAGGGAAACTACATCGATCCAGCAACTACAACTTCTAAGCGAGACCAAAAACAGTAACAAAGACAGTACCACGATCACCATTGAAGCCTTTGTTGTTAGTACCGGCTCCAGCGGCTTCCTGCTCCTGCTGCTTCTTCTTCAAAGCCTTTCTCTTTTTGGCACCAGGAGGCATGATCAATGGATTCACAACAAAAACAGACGAAAAATCGAAGAAAGATATGGGATTGGTTCGTTCACTCCAAAGATTTATGGAGCTTGTGGGTTTGTTGGGTTGTGTGATGAGGGTGGAGTTGAGTTTCTCCTTTTTGTCTTTATGTTTTGGGGAAAATCAAATGTCACACTAACAGTCAAATGCCTAGCGATAAGGCTGAGCCCATTTATTAAACGTGTCGGTCTGCCTCCATAATCTACTATTCTTATTGTTTTTTTTTTATTACTACTTTTTTTTTTGTCTCTACAAATTCCTATGATTCCAATTACAGATTTTGAATGTTTTAGTAGACACATATTATTGGCAAGCAAGCCTTATACATGTGTGGAGACAAGACATCCTTGACACTAACATTACAAAAGAGTTGGGAAAATGCAAAAGTAGAAGAAACAAAAACAATAGAAGACACAAAACAATAGTAGATGATGATTTGAAAGTTGTGCAACAATCACACCAAACCTATGTGGCCGATCTTTTATAATTAGTACTTCGGAGACATCAATCACATGATGCTGCGTCTCTTCTTCATGTGTTTCCGCATTTTGTTTTAGCGCATGCTCCACCTGAAAGATAAGATTAAACCAGAGAATCTTAAAATCAATCACATGTTAGTATTCAACTATATACAAAGTTTTGGATACAGATTTACTTCGTGTGCCATCATATTCATAGTATGCTCATGCTCCATCCGTGACTGCTCTTTCATCGCTATTACCTCTGCTTCCGAAAGGCTCTTAGATTCGATTTCCCCTTTTTTTTCCTTGAGCTTATCATTTTCTTCCTGAGAAACCGATGATAAACATTTTAAAATTTTAACTACAATTAATAGTAATTCCTAAAAATGGTTTAGCAGTCAATCATCTAGTGAAGCAAATTTGGACTATGGAAAGCTGGAAGAGTCAAGATTACTATGGAAGAAGAATCAACTCAATCCCAGCTGCCAAACAGAAGTTACAGCTGATTGAAGTCAGCATGTCCAAGACCGGTCGCAATGAGTATTGTGCATAAGTAGAATATGTCTAAAAGTGTAAAATCATTTTAGAAACAAATATATAAAAAATACTTCTTAAAAAATGTTCCTAAGTTCAATTAAGTCTTAATTAGTGTTATCTAAAAGCGAAGCATAAGAGAGATCACTTCACATTTGAATGCATAAGTAAACACAAATTTTGACCTTAATATTATCTCACAGCTCTATACATCTTATTTACCATGGTAACACCTCCTGCATCTGCTTTGGATATGACGAGTTTTTCATCAAGGAGGGTGTTTCCGGTGAACCTTTTTCCATTGCCATTACGCCCTACTAGAACTATATCTGTAACAGAGGGCAATTCCTGATCAGCCATATTGTGATCACCACCAATTTCTGCATGCAGGCAAACACCCATTAAAAAGAACATCATGAAATAATATCTTTTGAAAAGGAGAATGAAGAGAGGAAGACTATACCAAGTGAAAACTTACAAGCAAAAGAAATAGGCATAAGTTAATCATATATAAAAGTAAGTTTTATTTTTCAGCTTAATTATTGGACCACTTGATATTATTTTTTAATAAGAAATATCAACTAAACACTTTCATTTGATTTTGTAATAACAATAAAATTAAATGAAACAAAGAAACAATATAATAAGCACAAGATCTATAACGTCTATGTGAGCCATGAGGGAAATTAGGATTAAACACCACGTAATTGATTTTGCAATTATAAAATTAAATGAGAAAAAGAAACACTCCGATAAACACAAACTTTATAATGTCTATAAGAGCCATGATGAGATTGAGGCGTATGATGGGAGGAAAATTGGGACTAAACACCACGTATGAGAGGAGCAAAATTGGGACTAAACACCACGTACGTACTATATTATAATTTCATTAATTATGTGGATGTTTGAACATGTAACGTATGGGTCATTTATGTTAATTGAAAGTTAAAAGTCAATTTTTTTTTAATCACTTCATATTATTACCTTAATCTGGTAAGTATACGGATTCCCACTGTTTTGGTTTTGAGTAGCTACAACATGGTCCAGAAGCTTGACTACAAGAACTATGTATCTAACGGACGGCAAGTCCTGATCAGCAATATTCTGATCACCAGCAATTAATTCCTGCATGCACGTACCCATGTTGAACATAAAAAATAATACCTTTTGAAAAGAAGAATGAAGAAATTAGAAAAAAAGAAGTTTAATTATTGGCAGACTATATATCAAATAGAAGCTCACGAGTCACGAGCTTTCTTATCCTTTTGTGAGTGAAGAACAAATTAAATTAATTAAGAAGAATGAATGGACAAGGTAATCTACAATATAATCATATATGCGACTTGCGAGCTTGAGTAACAAAAGAAGAGTGAATGGATAACTTAATCGACGTAACAATCATATTTTAGATTATTTAACAAAACATAATCTTATATTATATATAAAACTAAAATGAGCTCTCTCTATCTATAGTTTCACCTTATCTCTAATGTTTTTTAAAATTGAAAATATAGTTCACTAATGCAGCATAAAAACCCAATTTTTAAAAATTCATTTTAATATAGAAGCTATATCAATTTAATTTCGTTGTTGAGAATTATTTATAAATCATTTGAATGAAGGAAAGTGTTCACGGAATTTCATTGGAAACAGCTCAAACAAAGAAAAAACAACAACATTTTATGAAACAAGATTTAATTTCTAAATAAAACTATTAAATTAATTAGGCACAAAATAAAATACAACTATTGGTATTTGTATATGTGACACTTGAGTTTGTTTATCTGTTTTTTTTTGGGTGAAAGTGAGATTAATTAGCTTAATTAAGTATGCGTAGTTGCGTACCATGTAGAAGTAGAAACGGTAAACGAACAGCAAGGCCAAGACGACTTTTTAGGATTGGCTTTGGTACTTCTCAGCCTATTAGTCTAATGAGGAACTATATATACCTTTTTTTGTTCCTTTCAAATATCACTTTTGATGGTCTTAAACTACGTTTTGATTATGGATAACTATGACATCAAATCATTGCTAAGATTGCATGTTCACAATCACTTTGCTAATCCCCAGTTTTATATGGAACATAATATACGAACACCATTCATTAAGATAGTATCTTTTTTATACAATTAAGTGAAAAACAGTTCTATGAACTAACCTCAAATTTGTTAAAAAATTCCAAATTAAACATGACATGATGATGTTTTGCGATGAGCATGCTTCTCAGATATTTGGGCATCCAATTTTTAGAATGGATGACAATTGTAAGAACTAGATATTCACCCTCTAAGTTTAAACATTAATGCATATGATTAACTATGTGATTAATACACATCACAACATCATATATATTAATAGTCATGATGTTACAAAATATTAACGTTTTTTTAGTAACAACTAATACACAAAACACACTATTAGATGCCGACCTAAAAACCTATAAAAACTAACCATATAATTATTTATATCCTAAAGACTAAAGTACGTAAGTTTATTATATAAACTAGAGAAAACGTAAAACAACCTGAGCAATATCAACATTATCTAAAAATTTGAGACTTAGAAATGTCATATAACAACAACTTGTTCACATCACTCATTGTTTTGGATACAAACATAAAATCCGTCAATGGTATAGTGAAAATGTCAAAGTCTCAAAGATAACAGCACGGTACTATTAATTTTCTCACATAGTTGCTGGCTTGCTGCATAACTAACCAAATTAGTTCTTTAAAAATTCATGTACAGTAATAAATTGAAGGGAACTATTAAAAAAAAAATTGAATGCCTATTAATTTTTTTCTTTTTTCAAAAATTACAAACATTCAACTACAAATACTTTTAGAAGTATTTAGTTTCACGAAAAATCAAAATTATACTCTAGTGTAGGCTAGTCCGGCCTAAGAAACCCAAGCTCTATTTTTTTCAGATCTAAACTCTTCGATCTGAGACCTATTTTGTCTACAATCGGCCAAGTAGGTCTGACTGGAACCTAGGATGCACCCAGATTGACATTTCAGCAGGCTGATGTGATGTGATGTGTTGTACAATGTCAACTTTAACATGGCATGTATAGATGCTTTTAGTGACGTGGCATGATCTATACCGTCCTTTTAGAATCATACGGACAGCTCAAAGAATCCCAAAATATTTTTCTATTAAGAAGATGATTTTATCTCTTTGTGCAAGACAGAATCTATGTGAGATCTTTAAACCTAATCTCATCTTACAAGGCAAGCTACGGTAATATATGCATTTGGTGTTGACTTTTGAGACTTGGCTTCTTGAGAAAATGGCCACAAAATTTAACACTAAGTACCGAAGACTTAGTCAGCTGAGAGAAGACAAAGTCTCTTCTCTAATTTAGAATCATGGTGTACCACAAACTAAGTGACTCTTTAACACACAAACAAACGTGAAACCCACCTGTAATATACAAAGGACATGGTTACAAAAGAGAAGCCAACACCACAATCCCGGAGACACATACATTAGCCCAGACCTTGACTCTGTCTCTTTTCTTCTTCTTACATTCTCTCTGTTTTTTTTGATACAGACAGAGGAAAACAACAAAGGTATGAGGGGGGCTGAGTCGTTAGTTACCTTAAACCACAAGATTCTGAGACCATGTAGGAAACTCCTGATCAGAATCACCAAGAGTTGTCCCCGACGTCATAACCGGCATTTGAAACTCAAGAAAGCCTCTTCTTCTTCTAATACTGCTTCAGGGAACAAGGTCACCAAAGTGGTGGCTTTGTTCTTCCTCTCCTTCCATAAGAAGAAGCAGAAGAAAGAAAAGATGAAGCGCCTTAACGAACTCAGGAGCTTCTCGCACGCAGTCAGTGACCAGAAGAAGGCAACAAAGCAAGAATCAAGCAAGAAAGTTTTCCCATCAAGACTCACAATGTCTTGGCTAGGTCAAGGAAAGGGTAACAACAACACGCAGGAAGTCCCTCAAGAACACGAAGCACGTAGAGACAGCACAAGCGCATTCATTCCTTGATTTTCAATCAATATTTTATCAATTATGTGGATATTTCTAGGCTCTCTTAATGTACATTGACATTGAGACCCTACACTAATTTATATTACGCGATACTCTCTAGCGCAAGATTAAAATCTCTATGTTTGCATTGTGGTCATTGAGAAAGATAAACAAGATTGATGCATATGATTTTGTAATGAAGTTAAAATATAATATTAGAATCATCAAGAAACGATTGTAATATCAAGAATCCAAATAATATCGAAAACAGAGAAAGAGAAGAAGATAGACATTGAAATTTTATACATCTATCCTAAAAGCACGGACCAAGTTGCTTCATTCCCTACACCCAATCTTAGGCATATCAACTCACCGATAGGGTTGATACAAAATTGGAGTAAGAAGCCAGGTAACTATCCTCCAACCATTTCTTGGCAACATCTCCATTGTATGAGAACCTAAAGCAGAGACCCAACAAAAGAAAACAGAGCAATTAAAAAGAATAAATTGACAAAGTTAAATGCTTTAAGCTCTACGAAATTCTTGAAATTGCTTGCCAACAATGGTAAGAGCAATAACAGATTTAGAACACCACATTACATTTGAATACGCAAAGAAGTGATTTTGGCTAAACCCTAAATGACAAACCCACATACAGAAGCAGAATCAAAATGTGAAGTAATAGAATGAAACATTCCAGAAAATCTTATGTTGAAACAAAAAAAATTATTGAAGTTTAAGAGCAACATTGCGGGTAGAAGAATCTCAAGAATAGAAAAAATAGCAGAGCAAAACTTACTCTTTGGAGAAGATAAATCTGGAAGGAAGCTCAAAAGAAATGAAGCCATTGGGCGTGGTAACAGTATTAGCGGTGGGAAAAGGCTAAAGGGTTAAACCCTAAGAGAGAGAGAATTAAGAGTTAAGAGTGTATTTAAGTAAAAGTAATGATCTTTGGTGAGCGGCGTGCTTACAGTTCTGCACAGAGCACATTTATCAATGAATGTGAGAGACAGAGTGAGACTTTTTGTTTTGGAATAAGTTGCAATATAGTACGTTTATGAAACTTAATTTGAAAAGTAGTACAGAGACTATTTACAATTGGAAAAATCCTCATGTTTTACTGTGTGCTACTGTTTGGCTGACTTCCAAACCCTCAACAAACTACTTTATTTACAATCATGCCATTGCAACTTATTCCATAAAAGAAGTAGACGAAATTCTGGTGAGAGACGAAGATGTGTGTGAGTGTGAGCTCGATGCCCTGTCCGACGGAATATATCCGACGAATTTCGATCCTAAATCGGTTCTTGAAGAATCTGAATATCCCCAATTGTCTTCAATCTCAGGGACATCCTCGTCTCTGTTCAGGTACATGAGCACCATTCTCATCGGCGGCCGAGATTCCGGTTTTTGGTGACAACAAAGCATACCGACGGCGAGAGCAAGCCTTGCCTCTCCTCGTTTTTTGTTTTCTTTTTAAACACAATCTTTTGTTATTGTTATTGTTACCTTATTAATGAATCTTTTTTTTTTGTTAATTTACAGATTTATTCAACGAGCTTGATCGATAAATTCTCAAACTTTGTTTTCTTCAAGATCTATGGCGGAAGCATCGATGTCAGACATCGGAAAGCAACCGTCTCTGTGTTAACAACTGTGGCTTCCTCGGCAGCTCCGCCACCATGAATCTCTGTTCTAATTGCTACGGCGATCTCTGTCTCAAACAACAACAACAATCCTCCATCAAATTCACCGTCGAATCTTCCCTCTCCGTATCTCCTCCTTCATCATCATCGGAGATTGCTTCCATATCTTCTCCGATCATCCCTCCTCTCCTTAAAACTCCCTCCGTCAAGCTATTTCGATCGAGGTAAAAGCTAACAGTTTCTATTTGGATTTCTTTCTAGTTATTCTATTTCTGATCTCGATTTGTTGTGATTAAAGAATTTTGTTGGGTTATTCATTGAAATTGCTACTGTGTTCGTGTGAGAGAGGCAAAGTAATTAGAAACTGTTAGACGAAAATATGTAGTTTTTGTTGGAAACGGATCTTTGATTAATCAAATGTAAGAAGAAGTTGAAAGAAGTGTAGAACAAGAATCGTAAGAAGAGAAGAAAAAGAAGAGGAGAAGGAAAAGAAGTCTGTGTCGTGAAGAGAAAAGAGAAGGAAGAAGAAAGAAGAAAAGGGCCAGATGGGCCAGAAATTAATAGAGACCCAAATGTGTATTTTTTTTATTTTTTTTTGGACAAAGAGGCCCAAATGTGTTATTGCATACTTTAATATATCAAAACTCCATCTAGCACTAAGAGCAACATTATTGGTAGTCTTTTAATATTGGCTCTTAGAGCATGATTATCAATGAGTTCTTAGTAATGGTTCTTAGAAATATTTAAGTAATAAGGGGGTGTTATTCATTCATGGAGTTAAAGTCAATTCTTAAAGGTTTAGATTTGATTTCTGATATTGTTTTTAACAATCTGTTTGTGTGGAGTTCAAAATCTCTGCAGTATATCTAGGATTATGATTCTAATAATTTACTCATGAAACTCCAAAGATGTTTCATTTCAAATGATTTGATATACAAAGATTTTACAAGTCTTTTAGTTTTGAATAACACTAGATTTTTAATGAAGCATTTTAAATCTTAGTTGAATAACACCAAACTTTAAAATCTATTAGAGTTAGATTTAGAATCAATAGGTTAATAACACTGGATTAGTGTTGGATTTCAATTCTATTAAAATCCATCATTGAATAACACCACCTAAATTTGTAAAAGTTATAGTTAAGAGATTGTATTTTTGGTTTAAGATTTTATGTGTCTTTAATGGTAGGCTCTTAACATGTGGTTCTTAGAAAAAAAAATATTAATATAAAAATAAAATTTATAACTATAGAAAATTTAATAATTGTTGCAAATTAAAAATATTAAAACATACATGATATACAATTTATAACATACATGACATAAAACACAATAATTTTAAACTTGATTTCAGGAAAATTTGGTCTATATATGCTCGACCAAATCCGCTTTCAATTGTTATCGCCTCTTTGGCGTGGAGCTGAATAAATTTTGGTTCTTTTCTGGGGTTTTTGGTTTCTTTTCTTCAATGTAGTTGACTGATTTGTCTTCTCAAATGTTATAACACAAGAAAAATACTTACTCCAAGTTACTTGAAAAGAGAACCCATTTTGCATTTATCATCTTCTTTCCATATGAAAGTATATAAGATCATGGACCAGAAGACAATTGGATGATGGAGATTGCTGAGCTTAAGAGTAGATTATTTGGATATAACAGACCTAAGGCAATAATTTATGTTGCAATACAATGAATAAATAAAAGATCTTATTCTTTGCCTCACATACATAATGAATGTAGACGACACAAAAGAGAAAGAAAGTCTTCTTTTGGACTGCGTCTCTCTTCACCATCTTATGTACATACAACAAGATGCTCCAACAAATATTTGGCTGGAACCAATATCTCTGCAACCTTTTTCCATAGTCATGATGCGTTTGTAGACTGAAATAGCACAGCGTAATGCAAGTTCAAGATTTCCTCTCTCAAAATTCAAGATTTCCTCTCTCAAAAATATGAATGATCACTTACGACTCAAGCAACTCAATAATTAGAACAGGAAACAAAAGAACTAGCTTAAAAGTATTTGTCTTTTTGAATGAGAAGTGATACTTACTTCATGACTTCGGTTCCATACATTTCAGTGGCTTTCTTGAACTTATGCTCCCTCCTGTGCAAGGTTTAATAATAAAAATGGAATCAGACAATTGTCCCAATACATTATAAAAGTTGTTGAATAATCAAGTAATTAAGCAAAGAATGTTACCCGAGACCTAATCGAGATTTAAGATGATATATAACGATCAAACTCAGATATTGGTCTCCGATCAACGATTAACCAAATCAAATTCAAAGAACAAGACTAAATTGGGATGGAACGATACAAATCGAATAAACTGAATAAGAACCCAGAAATTTACCTTGATCACGATTGAGATATTTGAGAGATTGATTTTAAGATTTTGAGAAATTGGAAACTGAATTGTGAAGAAGAAGAGGTTAATCGCGAAATATCCTCCAAGCCAGAGAAGAGGAACGTGAAAGAGAGAGAGAGGAGGAGAAGAGAGAGAATCTTGGGCTTCTCACATTGACACGTGTCCTCCTCTTACCATGTGTTTTGACTCTTAGATAAGGAACGTTCCTTAACTTAAATTAACATTTATCATTTAATTTAAATCAAATTAAACCTAAGAATCATCTAAGAATTGCTTAAGAGCTCTCCGATAAAGATGCTCTTAGCATTAGTTTAATATTAAATTTGTAAAGTTTGGAGTTAAGAGATTGTATTTTTGTTTTAAATTTTATGTGTCTCCAATGGTAGTTTCTTAGAAAAAAAATATCAATAGAAAAATAAATTAAATTAACAATTTTAATTAAATATCAATATAAAAATAAATTAAACTAACATGTCACCGCCTCTTAGGATGGTTTGGGCCTCTTAGTTAAGAGACCACTGTACAGAAGACCACTGTACAGATATAGACCATTGTACAAAAGACCACTGTACAGATACAGATATAGACCACTGTACAGATACAAATATAGATATAGATATAAACCACTGTACAGAAGACCACTGTACAGAAGACCACTGTACAAAAGACCACTGTACAGAAGACCACTGTACAAAAGACCACTGTACAGAAGACCACTGTACAAAAGACCACTGTACAGATATAGATATAGACCACTGTACAGAAGACCACTGTACAGATATAGACTACTGTACAGATATAGACCACTGTACAAAAGACCACTGTACAGATACAAATATAGACCACTGTACAGATACAAATATAGACCACTGTACAGATACATATATAGACCACTCTTTATCATTTTCCACCGCACTCGACTTTTTTTGGCCTCGTGTCGTGTATCTCATGTGTTATAACATGGGTAACTTCAGCATCTAGTTACCGTATTGTTACTGTAATATTTGTAGACTCTTTTTGGTTAGAGTCTTTAGACCCACCCAAACCCATATGTGTTTAGATGTATTGGGGAATTATTTGTATACAAGACTTTACCAACTTTGCCCAAAAAAAAAAAAAAAAAAAAAAAACAAGACTTTACCGACTTAATTGAATAATGCATTTGACTAAAGAGAGACTTTACCACTGTATTTGTACAGTGGTCTATATCTGTATATGTACAATGGTCTATATCTGTATCTGTACAGTGGTCTTTTGTACAATGATCTATATCTGTACAGCGGTCTATATCTGTATCTGTACAGTGGTCTATATTTGTATCTTTACAGTGGTCTTTTGTACAATGGTCTATATCTGTACAGTGGTTTATATCTGTACAGTGATCTATATCTGTACAGTGGTCTATATCTGTACAGTGGTCTTCTGTACAGTGGTCTATATCTATATCTGTACAGTGGTCTTCTGTACAGTGGGCTTCTGTACAGTGGGCTTCTGTACAGTGGGCTTCTGTACAGTGGTCTTCTGTACAGTGGTTTATATCTATATCTATATTTGTATATGTACAGTGGTCTATATCTGTATCTGTACAGTGGTCTATATCTGTATCTGTACAGTGGTCTTTTGTACAATGGTCTATATCTGTACAGAGGTCTTCTGTACAGTGGTCTCTTAACTAAGAGGCCCAAACCATCCTAAGAGGCGGTGACATGTTAGTTTAATTTATTTTTATTTTGATATTTAATTAAAATTGTTAATTTAATTTATTTTTATATTGATATTTTTTTTCTAAGAACCACAAGTTAAGAAACTACCATTGGAGACACATAAAATTTAAAACAAAAATACAATCTCTTAACTCCAAACTTTACAAATTTAATATTAAACTAATACTAAGAGCCAATATTAAAAGACTACCAATAATGTTGCTACATGGAGCTTTGATATATAAAAGTATGCAATAACACTGTTCACAAAAAAAAAAAAAAAAAAAAAAAAAGTATGCAATAACACATTTGGGCCTCTTTGTCCAAAAAAAAAAAAAAAAAAATACACATTTGGGCCTCTATTAATTTCTGGCCCCTCTGGCCCTTTTCTTCTTTCTTCTTCCTTCTCTTTTCTCTTCACGACACAAACTTCTTTTCCTTTCCTCTTCTTCTTCTCTTCTTACGATTCTTGTTCTACACTTCTTTCAACTTCTTCTTACATTTGATTAATCAAAGATCTGTTTCCAACAAAAACTACATATTTTCGTCTAACAGTTTCTAATTACTTTGCCTCTCTCACACGAACACAGTAGCAATTTCAATGAATAACCCAACAAAATTCTTTAATCACAACAAATCGAGATCAGAAACAGAATAACTAGAAAGAAATCCAAATAGAAACTGTTAGCTTTTACCTCGATAGAAAAATTGAACAATAATCCAAATAAGCTAAATCGAGATTCTCGATCTTGGAATCCATGGCGAAAACAAGTCATAGAGGTAATCATTTCTGCTTTCTCTCTCTAGTAAACTTTCCCTTCTCTCAATTTCGCATAAACACCCATCAATTTTCTGGTGTTTTCTTAAGCTGGCGGAGATGCAACTTTGACGGAGAGAGAAACGAGAGATGAAACAAATAAACACAAAACCCTTTTTGGTCTTTTCTCTTTTCCACTAATATTTCTATCTCACAATTCTCTATCTCACAAGCTGGTCCCACCGACTACTCTTCAAATTGTAAATAGTAACCGTACTACTTTTACAATTATGTTTCAAAAACGTACTACTTTGCAAACAAACCCTTTTGTTTTTTGGTTTCGACGTTTCCTGATTCGAATTCGAACAAGGTCCCCTTTGTTTTCTTCTCATAAAAACAAATTAAAAGACGAGAATTTTCCCCCGGTTCCGGTTCAATGTAGGGTTCCTCAGTGTGCTCTTAATGGGCTCCTAATGGGCCTAATAGCAAACCAATGGACGATGCAAAAGTTAATGTCTTCTTTATGTTCATGTTTGGATCCTGATAGTCTGATAGAGAGATTAGAGAATAACGACTAGTAAAAGTTGTTTGATATCGTTATATTCGATAGTTTTCTAACATTTTAACATTACTAATCCTTTTAATATGTGTCTTTTGTATTTTAGTGATTAGATTCCAAATTTTTAATAGAGTTAGCCAAATATGAAGTACATTTCTTCTTCTTGATGTCACAGGAAACAAATTTTGCTCTCTCTCTGTCTCTCACAATCAATGACAAGAGAACAGCTGTTTCTGTTCGGCTTTTGTCCACATCTGAAAAAGATGAATCCAACTCAGATATCTTCATCACACTTCCATAATTCCAATTAAGTACAAATTAACACTTAACAAGCCTTGCATTTTAAATCATAACACAACAATTATCGTTGTTCTTCTCATAATTAATCCGAAATTTCATTCTGTTTCCTATTACAATTAAGGAAAAATAAAGAATATGAAAGAAAAAAAAATTAGGAACTATAGGAGAAATCTTTGTTTCACATTTTCCCCAACTTCACTTGAATAAAACAACACGGGAACACTTGCAATTTTCCTTAATATGCAAAAAAAAAAAAGTTGGGAAAAGATGATAAAATATGGCAAACCGGTAACGGTTCAAGCCTCCAAAAAACCGGTTAACCTAAGAACCGAATTCCGAACCCGGCTCAGATCTCTTCCCTTAAGAGTCCTTCCACTACCTGAACAAACGGAAAACGCCATTTGTCCTCCTTGAATCCTCCGTCCGACCATAATATGCGGCGGAACCATCTCTCCTACGTCGGAATATTCCTCCTTGGAATAATCATCCTCCTCTTTTCCAACGTACCTTTGAAACATGTTCTCTGGAATATTCACCGGAAGCGAACTCGACAACGCCTTCTCCGTCGTCCTCCTCTTGATCCGCCTCGTCTTCTTCCTCTCCATATCGGAACCAAACAGGCGATTCTCGTCCTCTTTATGGTGAACGGAGCTAAAACCATCGGAGAACACTATCTCAGATTCATCGAATTCCTCCGCCATTTAAAGAGAAGATTTGGAAGGTTTTATTGGTATGGAATGAAAATCTTGAGATTAGGGTTTGGAGAGACTCCAAATGATCTTATTCTGTAAGCAAAATGAAGGGTTTTATATATAGGGAAGAGAGAAGAAGAAGAAGACGAAGGAAACGTAGAGAGCACAAGAAGTTGTTTTGGGGTTTTGTGTTGTGTGTTTTATCATTTATGAGATCAGATGATGTCATCATGATCATGGCATTGAGTGCGGACCCCGCTTACTTTCTATATCTGTACACTTTTACACTTGGATTAGTATATGTAATTATTCGTTTAATGAATTTTTGCTAAAGCAAAATACTTTATGATATGTGGACATATCTTATCTATATGTGTCTGAGTAACGCAGACTGGGACTTCGATTGGATCGTCCTTTTGGTCTCATCATTTTTATGTATCCTATCGTTTATTACTCCCTCTGTTCCTTGTTATTTGATGTTTTGGGTTTTAAACTTGTTCCACCAAGTTTGATGTTCTGTACAAATATTATTATTATTTTTGTTTGAAACCAATAGAGAAAGGAGAGAAGTAAAACTAATATTATTAAACTAAGAAAATAATAGTTAAAATGTATAAAAGTTACTTTTCTTAATTTGTGTGTAAAACTCAAAACATCATTCTTTTAGGAACAGAGGGAGTATAATTTATTATCTGTGAACGAGATGATGATTTGATCCGTGAATTCACAATGGATTTGGAACACCAACAAGCTATAATAAGAAACAAATTGGACACTTTTAGTTCCTGTTTAAGGAAATTATATTGCCTTTTGTAAAGAAATAAATTTTATGTATAATTGAAATATGAAAAGTCATTATTTTTTATATAAAAATCAACTAATGAAAGTTATAAAACTAAAATTCTTTAAAAAGAATATGACGTGAAAACACGTGAATTTGTCATATTTCGTAACTTGTGTCTCATGACTTTTTCTCATGCATCATTGCATTGTATACAAAACTTGATATGTCCCTTTGTAAATTATTCTGAAAATATTTGTCATTTAAATAAGTAAATTCAATGAATGCGGAGAAAAAAATGTTGATCATGAATGTTATTGGGGACGTTCCAGTCTTAAAAGAACCTGATCAAGCATGTATAGAATTAAGTTTCGTTTAGTATAGTAACACTGGAGATTGGATTGGACGGAGACTGCAGATTTGTCATATAATGTATGCTGCTTTTGTTTTGTAAGTATGTGACAAGTAACTGCAGATTGGCACACATAACTACATGGTCGAGACCAGGTCCAATTTTGAAAAATCAAAATCTATTTTGAACCATATTTATAAAAGAACAATATGTTATAGTCGATCACAATTTCAAATGGTGAAAGAAAACAAGTATGTTCAGAATTTTAATACTCCTTATGTGATATAAGTTCGAATCTTCTGCACTATTAGAATATTGATAACTTCGTTAAATATTAAGCTTAGGATGGATTAACTTATGGGAAGTTGGAAATAACACTTTTTGTGTGTTTTACTGGAAAAGGAATCTAAACGTCTCTGCGTGTACAGACACATCAGGGCTCCGTTGCTTTCGGCCCACGCGTACTGTTTTATATTTTTGGTGCTCTATTTTAACGTTAGCGGTAGCAGAGTAGAACTAAAATTCATTTTATTAACATCGAAACATAAAATAATTAGAACAATTCTTGGGTTCACCCCTAGGGGTGAACCACTTTCATTCACCCCCTATTAATTATCCAATTAGAATTTGCCATGTCATCTAATTAAAAAAATTAAAACAATTATTTTCTAAATAAAACAATAAGATTAAGTCATAACCACTCTTTTATAAACCCAAACCGATATATAATCTCGTTTAATTACAAAATCTAAACCCTAATTCTCTTTTGTAAACCCAAACCGTCATTTAAACTCGTTTAATTGTAAAAAATCTAAACCCTAATCGTACTTTCTAAACCCAAACCGACACTTAACCTCGTTTAATTGTAAAATCTAAACTCGTTTATAAACCCAAACCGATAGTTAAACTCGTTTAATCATAAAATCTAAACCCTAATTCTCCTTTGTAAACCCAAACCGTCATTTAAACTCGTTTAATCGTAAAAAATCTAAACCCTAATCGTACTTTCTAAACCCAAACCGACACTTAACCTCGTTTAATTGTAAAATCTAAATCCGTTTATAAACTCAAACTGATAGTTAAACTCGTTTAATCATAAAATCTAAACCCTAACCCTTTCTAATAAACCTAAACCGATACATAATTTCGTTTTAATGACAAATTAAATTTTATAATTAAATAAATTTTTTTATTATTAATAGGTGGCAGATTTTGATTGGATGAAATAAAGGGGGTGAACATAAGAGGTTCACCCCTAGGGGTGAACCCAAGTATTTTTCAAATAATTATTAGTTCTAAATCTTTTTTCAACTCATTCTGATATTAGGTTTTCGCTTTTTATAATAGGTTCAATTATGAAATTTTCCAATTTATAAAATTTTAGCAAGACTTTTAGGATCTGAAACTTGGCGGAGCCTACGTAGGCCTACTTGTCAGATCTATCTTGAAATGCGAATATTCTACTCTGAAAGTTTTAATTATCTGGTGGAGTAATCATTTCAATAAGAAATGATAAACTATTACTACTATAGTACATTAGTACTATATCTGAATATTCATGGGAATTTGTGGTAGAGGTAGTAAGCTTATACTCATAAACCATGTGAAAATTGATAAGAATTCGATTTTGGGATCATAGCACATTAGTATCCGTAGACGCTATCAACCACGAACGCATCAAAAACCTACTAATCTTCGAGGGTTTTCTGCCGTAATTGCAACGTCTACCAGACGGTTGAGCCGCGAGAGACTCCACTACAATTTCTCTAGTGTCCTCAATCCGGAGAAACCCGTCTCAAAATTTCATGCCCACCGAGAAAGGCTACCGTAACAATGCTTGAAGATATTCCACACCACACCAACACTGAAGAAGATAATATTCTTAATAAACAAAAAGCATTTTAATTTACCCAATGTGATGAATAACGTGTTATTAATTCTACACATATCACTGAATTATATATAAATTTTTGTTTCTTCTATGCGTTGTGGAAAAAACCAAAACCGTCCAATATTGTAATTTTTTTTTCCACGACGCTCATACTTTTATTTTCTACTAATCTGCTATGCATTGGTCAGTCGCGTAATGTTGCTCTTCACAGTTAGGCTATATGCCACCTGCATGGCTGCATATATAGTTCTCCAACCTTTATTTATGCTTGTTTTGGTTTTAAACTCATAAAATATAAGGGTGGACATTATATTCAACACTAAATCGTATTTACCTATTTAAAATGCTACCCTCTATATCGTCTATATATGTTAAGTAAACACTTTTTTGTAGGGTATCACTAGCAGTAGGGTGCTCGGTAGATATTGTTTAGTTATACGTATATTTGTGTGTCGATAATATATAAATATACGGAACAAACCACAAACGGGTTTATCCTGATTATTCGTTGCTTACAGTTTTGGACTTTTGGTTTAATTTAACACGCACGTAAATACCACATGCAAATGTAATTAAGTAACACAAAATTATAGATTTAGTTTCGCAAGTAAGCCTTGGCCAATGGATGATGTTTTTCTTAAGATTCTTAAACCTTGTCTTTTTAACTTTTAAGCAACGTATGCTTGGATAATATCCGATAGGCATCTCTTGCAAATTAAATATGATAATTAAGAATTCGTATAATTTATATCGATTAATTGTCTTCTAATGTATACGTAATTTAGACTATTTAGTTTAATTACTCCTTGTTTATACTAGTGTTTATGAGTTTAAAGTTCATATTTTAGTACATTTCCATAAACAATCCTTTATATGTACGTGATATAATGTTTTTTGTTTGTTAACATGCAAAATATATAATTTTCGAACTACAGTACCTAATGATATCGTTTGTTTTATAATTATATTTGGATGATTAACAAAATGCTTAATCAATGCTTGGGTCCGTTTGGATAAGTCCAAAAATATAATTTTATAGTCATGATTTTGAGAAGATCTGTTCTAATATAATATATACATCATATAGATAGGAAACATATTTGCATTTAGTTTTAATAGAAATTGAATGTAATGTTTTTGAAATTACTAGGGGGTGTATTCAATCAATCATTTGAAGAGATTCATGTTAAAATAACAAATCTTATGTTATTCAACTATAGATTTTAAAAATCTTTTCAAATCCAATGCTATTGAACTAGTGATTTGAAAGTTACTTTAAAATCAACTCTTATTGGAAACATTTCAAACATTATTTTTAGTGTCTTTAGGGGATTTTAGAAGATTTCTTTAGTTAAAATACAAAAATCTAAAATCCCATGGTTTTGAGTGAAATTTGGAAAAAGTTTATATAACAACTTCCTTAAATTTACCTAAAATAATCTAAAAACATATTAAAACTCAAATCATTTATATATAAGATTGAATTAGTTTCATATTTGTACTTGGCAAATAATATAAAGAGATGATTAGTTAAGTTATTGTCCTAATTAAGTTATATGATTGTGCCTTGCTGTTGAAAGATTTGCCGATCTACGTTGTAGTCAGCGATTCGCCAAGATTTATATAAACCAGCTACATCCTACATGTCTGGTTTTTATAATCACATTATATATTAAACTATAACGGAGGACAGATATATCTGTATATCATAGACAAAATGTAATTATATTTTATAGAAAACGTCACGTTTAAATTCATGTATATTATATATGAGTTGATTATATAATGTATTCATCATCCTCCAATTAATTAGTCTCTCATCTATACAGCTGTTTCTATAGATTATTTAGTGGACTTCCTCGTTTCACATGGTAGACATTTCAGCTATCTCGGTTTAGGAATTGTCCAGTTTTCATGTACTTTTTATGCGGTTGTGTTATCGGTTAAATTTGGTTTAGTCTAGTTGGAGTGTAACTAAAGCAACTCCAATTAGAACTCGGTTTATTTGTACCGTAGTTAATCTGGTTAAATTGGTCTAACCAAACCAATAATGCCCACGATTATACACTTTAAAATTCAAAGTTGACTTTTACTTTCATTTTAAGACAATGGATACTCATTTTGATCGATGTAGATAGCTATAGAGAACGAGAGAAAAAGAGAAAAAAGATGGAGTTCGCAAACACGAAATGGGTGGCTGCTGCAGCTAGCATATGGATACAAAGCTTTAGCGGAGCAAGCTACACTTTTGGAATTTATTCTTCTGTTCTCAAATCATCTCAATCTTATGACCAATCTACTCTTGACACCGTCTCCGTCTATAAAGACATCGGCGCAAACGTAGGTATCCTCTCCGGCCTTTTCTACACCGCGGTTGCAAGCCGAACAAGCGGTAGCGGTCGCTTCTTTGCTGGGCCATGGTTGGTTATATTTGTGGGGCTGCTCCAATGGTTCGTGGGATATGGATTCATATGGATGGCTGCGTCAGGAGTGATCGAACGGCCTCCCGTGGCTGTGATGTGTTTGTTCATGTTCTTCGCCGGTCATTGTCAGCCTTTCTTTAATACCGCGATTGTGGTCACCGCCGTCCGTAACTTCTCCGACTATGGTGGGACCGCCGTTGGTATTATGAAGGTAGGTTATATTGAGACGTGAGGAATAAGATATTAATTCTTGTATAAAAAATATAAAAAAATTTGTAGATATATTAAAATGATGACTGGTCTACATAGTTACATAAACTAGTGAAAATCAGTTTTGATGTTGTCTTGTAGACCACTACACAAGATAAATCAGTAGATTACAAACACATATAATTCTTATTCTTTTTTTTTGATAATTTTTGGATATATAACATAATTCTTATATATGTTATATATATATAACATATATAATTCTTAATACGCACATAATTCTCATTACAATACTTGATAAGTTTTGTGGCCCTTATGTGTTATGTTTTTTAATTTTAGGGTTATCTTGGGTTAAGTGGAGCAATTCTTGTTCAAATGTACCACATCTTTTGTGGAGGTGACCCAAGGAATTACATTCTTCTCTTGGCCGTGGTACCATCACTCCTCATCTTGACGTTGATGCCCTTCGTTAGAACGTACGACACAGTCATCGCAGGCGACAAGAAACACTTGAACGGTCTCTCCGCCATCTCTTTGATAATCGTCACCTATCTTATGGTCGTCATATTGGTCGAAAATATTATCGGAATGTCAATGCCTATGAAGATATGCTCCTTTACCTTTCTACTTATCTTGCTCGCCTCTCCTCTCTTAGTGGCGGTTAGAGCACAACGTGAAGAGAAACAGAGATTCTTGTCTTTGGATTTTCCGGTTACCGAGAGAACCACGTTGCTTGACTCTCCAAAGCTCAACTCTTCTTTCGGTAAGGTTTAGTTGTTTCGGTTCTTATTTATTGACGAATGATATATTTTGTGGTCTTGGAGTGAATTATACCCTTATATGTTACTTTAGGTCCCTTAGTTATGTTATGCTTATCGAAGTGAACTTCCTAACACATTTCAATCAATGGACAGATGATAAAGTTGTCATGACCAATGACATGAACGTTCTCGACGCAATATGCACAACAAACTTCTGGCTTCTATTTGTGGCGATGATATGTGGAATGGGTTCAGGACTTGCGACGATAAACAACATCAGACAGATGGGCGAGTCACTTCGCTACTCTACGGTTCAACTCAATTCTCTGGTGTCTCTCTGGAGCATATGGAACTTTCTAGGCCGGTTTGGGTCGGGTTACATCTCAGACACCTATTTACACAGTCATGGCTGGCCAAGACCGATATTCATGGCCATAACCCTTGGCCTTATGGCTATAGGTCACATTGTCATGGCCTCCGGTGTACTAGGAAGCCTATATATTGGGTCCTTGTTGGTCGGTTTAGCGTACGGCTCCCAATGGTCACTGATGCCAACAATAACCTCTGAAATATTTGGGGTTCGTCATATGGCAACTATATTCTATACAATTTCGATAGCTAGTCCGGTTGGTTCGTACATTTTCTCAGTGAAGGTAATAGGCTACTTGTATGACAAGGTAGCTTCTGAGGATGATCATTCTTGTTATGGGAATCATTGTTTTAGGACTTCGTATATGATAATGGCAGCCATGGCTTTGCTTGGATCTCTTGTCGCTCTTGTGTTGTTCCTCCGCACAAAGAAGTTTTATGCGACGCTTGTGGCTAAGAGGATCTTGAAGTAATCTTTATGATCCTAGGGTCTGAATCATGGCTTCATAATCATTTAATTTGTTTCTTTTCTTCCCTCATATATCAAAAGATAAAATCTATTGCTTGTAGAAAGGAAATTGAGTCATATCACCTACATATGGTTGATTTTCAGAAATTTGATAATTTGTGTGAGAAAAATTGACGGGTGGTCTCGCCGCTTGCCACACGTCAAAAATTGCGGTAAGCCGATAATTACAAATTTATGTGCAACAAATTTACTATTAATCGATAAAAATCTGTTGTTTACAAAATAGAAAATTTGGTTTCTAAAGTTGATTCTCAGTTATACTCCAATACCTTTCCAAATACCTTGAATAGGCATATAAAAAATCAATTAAATAAGAATCATCCTTTACGTATTTGGAAAATTTGTAAATAATTAAGCTCAACTACTAAAAATCTTTATTTGAGCAGCAAATAAGTAAAGTTTTTAAATAATTAAGCTCAACTGTCAGCTCCAATACCTTTTAGATTTCGCAAGAGCAGCAAATAAGTAAAGACTTTTAATCATGAATCACGATGTCGTCTAGAGTGCAATTGAATACTTCTTCTTCTCTTCGTTTGACATCATCAGATTCAGATTCAGACCGGGGATTTGCTTTCAATTTTTCGAGACGATGGAGAGAATAAACACGAAATGGGTAGCAGCAGCAGCGAGCATATGGATTCAAAGCTTTAGCGGTGCTACATATACATTCGCAATCTACTCTTCTATACTCAAATCATCTCAATCTTATGACCAATCTACTCTTGATTTCGTTTCTGTCTTTAAAGACATTGGTGGTACCTTTGGTATCATCTCCGGTTTCCTTTACACGACCATGACTTCTAAGTCACGCGGTTGTGGTGGGCCTTGGGTTGTTGTTTTCGTTGGGTTGGTTCAGTGGTTTGTTGGATTCTTTTTCATCTGGGCTTCGGTTGTTGGGTTGATTGCTCCGCCGCCTGTGCCGGTGATGTGTTTGTTCGTGTTCTTGGCTGGTCACTCGTTGCCGTTTTTCAATACGGCTAATGTTGTGACGGCTGCTCGTAACTTCCCTCGTTATGGTGGGACTGCTGTTGGTATTATGCAGGTAAAAAGATTGTAACTTTGTTGAAGAATCATCAAATTGGGTGAAGTTGAAACTCAATTTGTGTGCTTAGTTAGGACTTAGGATTGTAACTTTCTGTTGTTTGTGTTTACATGGCCAAAAAAGAGTTCACCTTTTTTGAAAAAAAAGTCACATTTTGATTTGGAGCTTAGTTTCTTTAGCTTTGTTTGCCTCCTAGATGGTGATTGCACTTGAGTCTTTTGTTGTTGTATACTTTTAGTTTGATATATCTAAAAGCTGACTCATTTTCCTCTAAATGTGTATATCTTTGAACATCAGGGATTTTTAGGTCTAAGTGGAGCAATTCTGATTCAGCTGTACCACGCGGTCTGCGGTGGTGAAGGTAACCCTGCTACTTTCATTCTTCTCCTGGCCATTGTACCAACGCTTGTCATGTTCTTGACTATGCCTTTTGTAAGAGTTTATGAAACGGTCACCACGAGTGACAAGAAACACTTGGATGGTCTCTCTGTGATCTCTTTGATCATCGCTGCCTATCTTATGGTCATTATAACGGTTGAAAACGTTCTCGGTTTATCACGGTGCATGCAGATTTTCTCCTTCATCCTTGTGCTTTTGTTGCTTGCCTCTCCTCTTTTCGTTGCGGTAAGAGCCCTACGAGAAGAAAGGCAGACACTTTCGTCTCTGGATCGTCCTGTTCTCGACACATCTGCCTTGCTCGACCCTCCTAGTTCAATCATTTTTCCCGGTAATTATGCATATCAAAAACTGGATTAGGCACCCTAAGTCAGCACACTAAACAGAATGAGGACAGAACACTGATCGTTTTACAAATTTGTGCAGATGGAGATCATGTGGTTGCTGAAGACTCAAACATACTGGAAGCAATGAGCACAGTGAACTTCTGGCTACTCTTCTTGGCAATGCTATGTGGGATGGGTTCCGGATTTGCGACTATAAACAACATGAGACAGATAGGCGAGTCTCTTCGCTACTCTTCGGTTCAACTCAATTCTCTAGTCTCTCTCTGGAGCATATGGAACTTTCTAGGCCGGTTCGGGGCTGGTTATGTCTCAGACATATTCTTACACAAACACAGCTGGCCAAGACCGGTCTTCATAGCCATAACTCTAGGTGTTATGGCTATAGGCCATATAATAGTGGCCTCTGGTTTACAAGGCAGTCTCTATGCCGGTTCGGTTTTGATCGGTATGGCTTACGGTTCGCAATGGTCGCTGATGCCGACAATCACATCAGAGATATTTGGGATCCGGCATATGGGAACGATTTACTTCACGATTTCGATTGCAGGTCCCGTCGGGTCGTATATTCTCTCTGTGAAAGTGATAGGTTACTTCTACGACAAAGTGGCATCTGAAGATGACAATTCTTGTTTTGGAAGTCAATGTTTCAGGACATCGTTTATGATCATGGCTTCTGTGGCTGTCTTCGGCTCTTTGGTTGCTTCTATATTGTTCTTCCGCACAAGCAAGTTTTACAAAAACCTTGTAGCCAAGAGGAACTTGAAGTGAGCTTGTAAATTGTATATACTTGTGATTTGAAGTTTGAAGCGTGATTATAGTAAGCGTCTTAGTCATTGTGTTGTTTCAGACTTGAGACTGTTGTTTGTTTTGAGTTTTGATCTTTCTATGTTTTTTTGTTTATAATAATTCTCGGATGATATATAGAAAAATGATTCGAACTTGAAAAACTTTAAAAGAAACTTAATCCTATAAATCAACCGTGTTATCAACTAATGAAAAGTGAGATATATATCATCTCATCTATTACTATCACTAGATAAGAACCCGCACTAAGTGCGGGATAAAGTGATTCAAATAAAATTATTATTGGGGATCTAAGATCCGTTTATGTAAAACAAAACATATAATATTTTTTTTGATATATATTCAAATTTGGGACTATTTCGTATAAGAATACGTTTTACCCGTGAAATATTTGAACCTGGAATAAAGCTTCAACGTGATAAAGAAAGTATTGACGAAATGTTACTATTCATGGCAATATGCCTTTCTGTATGTTTTAAAGATGTCGAGATTTTGTAGTATAAAAAGAAAATTTCATTTTTTCTTTAATTTAAGTATAAAAAATCCAAAAATTTAGCAAAAATGAAATTTGATAGTTTCCAAGTTAAGATTTTGTATTGTACTAAATCTAAGATTCTTAGATTATAAATAGATTATTTATGAAATGATTATAATGAGGCCAGATTTTGGTTTCTGTATAAATGTGGTTATAATGTTTTTCCTCGAAAAGTCAGAATCCCTCCAAAAAATCGGATTTTAAGTATTCGTAACATATATAGAAAAGAGATTATCTTATTTATTTAAGTACAATAGATATAAAAATTTATGAAAGATGTAGAGATTTTGTAGTTTTGAATTCGAGATTCTTGAACCAAATATAAACATAAATGTAAATATAAATAAAAAAATTGTTTACCTATCAGCTAGAGATGATTTATATAAATATATAAAGAAAAATATAAATATAAAGATTTAATAATATAAGATAAACAAAAAAATGTATGTTTTTTAATTGTTAAAAAACAGATTATTAATATAAATAAACAAATGTCTCGTGATTTTTTGTTAAATATAAATAAGAAGATTAGTTGTCTAATTATTTGCTTTTTAATTATAATTTCGTTTTTTTTATTTGTGTGATATATGTATGTATTAAGAGTAATGACAAAATCTGTAAATAGTCTAATAAAATTTGGGTAATAAATTAAATGGTGGAAAATCACTCTGAAAGCGACACGTCAGCATAGCAGTTTAGTTAATAACACGTCAATGTAAGGTTTATTTTTTAGAGTGCTTCTCTATTAATATATAAGGGATATGAGACATTGTGATACAATGAGTTGGAGATTTTCATAATATCAAGATCTTAACACAAAACCAGCTAATCTACCAAAAAATAAAGACATTATAAATGTTCATATAAATCAACCGTGTTGGTCGGACCACCCGGTCGAACCGAAATAATTGGGTCCTAGTTTTAACTGTAAAACCAATCACTTTGTCTAAACCGGAGGAAGTCGATTAAATCATAAACCCTGGATTGATTTTCGGTACTGAGAAGTAAGAACCCTAAAGGCTTCTCCTTTCATAATCGGCGCCAACACCAAAACTTGAGCAGTCTCTTTTAGTCGTCATCGATCTTCAAAGCCAACGAGGGTTCTTCTACTTCGCTGTTTTCAGGTTAGAACTTCTCCTTCTGTTTCGATTCAATCTAAATTGTGAAGCTTTATTCTTCTCTACCTGTTTTGTTTATTTGCTTATTTCATGTTTCTGCGTCTCTTCTCCAACCCTAAAGCTTCAATTTTTGAGTTTGTATTTCTTTCATATTTTACGCTTTGTTTATATAGAATTTTGGCTAGAGTCTACTTTTTCTTGTTATATGTTTTGATGATTATTTTCGATTGCTATGATAATTATGAAGATTGTATAGTATTGCATTAAATTTCTGTCTTTGTGTTCTGATATTGTTTCCCATCTTATCAGAATCTGAGAAGCTCCATCTTACTCTTACAATTCCTCCCAGGCAACCTTCTTCAATCTTTCCGAAAGGTAAGTTTTTTTTGTTTGTTTGTTGAGTTGGTTTCAGCCTCAAAGTAAAGTGATTGATTAACCTAATTGTTCCCGTTCTATTGTAGAGAATTCAGCTGGATTAGTTAAGGAAACGGATCCTAGTTATGGAATCATTATGTGTTGGCATTGACACCAGCATGTGCCTCACACACTCAGAACCGGACCTGCATGTTTCTGAAGATTTTGGGGAGTACATGCGCTCACGCTTATCGCAGTCCAAAAGACAGGACCATGAATATCTATGCGCTGTCATTGATGAGTTATCAAAAACTCTAGCAGAAGATAATCATCCTCGGACACCTGTGGCTTACTTTGCCAAGACATGCATCTCGCTAGACAGCCTCTTGTCGGAAGATGGTGAACCACGTTTGGATGTTGTCCAGCCACATGTTGTCATCCTTTCCCTTGTGTTCCCTAAAGTCTCAGCAGGAGTACTGAATAGGGATGGGTTGGCTTTGCGTCTCGTCCTTAGCGTTCTGCGTCTGAAATCAGCCACGCCTGAGTGCTTGATTTCGGGATTGAAGTGTTTGGTTCACCTTCTCACAACTGTTGAGTCCATTATGGGGAACGAAGGCTCTGATTCCTACAGCATTTTACTGAATTTTGTAACTCATTCAGACGGAAAGGTAAATTACAAATTTGCTGGTGTTGATGATTTGGTCTGCATCAGACTTTGACGATCTTCTTCTTTTCAATCCAGGTAAGAAAGCTAGCAAGCTCGTGTCTCCGTGATGTCCTGCTGAAATCCCATGGAACAAAGCCCTGGCAATCAGTCAGTGGAGCTATTGCAGAATTGTTCCAGAATTATTTAGAACTCGCCCATAAATCGGAAGTGGGTTCTACCGAAGGAGCCAGGGGAGCAAAGCAAGTGCTTTACATTCTCAGCACTCTGAAAGAGTGCTTGGCCTTGATGTCGAGAAAGCACATTGCTACTTTGATTGAGGGATTTAAGATGCTGATGATTCTTCGCGATCCATACATTACAAGGCCAGTGATAGACTCTTTATATGCAGTTTGTCTCAATCCAACCTCCGAGGTTCCAGTTGAGGCGCTGCTCGAAGTGTTATCTCTTGCGGCTGGACTGTTCTCAGGACATGAAACATCTGCTGATGCCATGACCTTTACAGCACGTTTACTGAAAGTTGGGATGACTAGGAGTTTTTCCCTGAATAGAGATCTTTGTGTGGTTAAACTTCCTAGTGTGTTCAATGGTCTGAATGGTATGCTGTTGTATTTGCTCCTTCCTGCTTTTTGGTTTCAGAATTTCTCAAACATACTGCTTTTCGTTTCAGTGTAGTTTATCCTACTGTTGACATGATCTATTTGCCTCTTTTGGCAGATATTGTTGCATCTGAACACGAGGAGGCAATCTTTGCAGCAACTGATGCGTTGAAGAGTTTAATATTTTCATGCATTGACGAAAGCTTGATCAGAGAAGGTGTCAACGGAATCCGGAATTCAAGCTTGAATGTACGGAAGTCTAGTCCAACAGTCATTGAAAAGCTGTGTGCAACGGTTGAGAGCTTACTTGATTACAAGTACCATGCAGTCTGGGATATGGCTTTTCAAGTAGTTTCAGCGATGTTTGATAAATTAGGTAACTATTCCTATCTGAGACACTAACCCTTGGCCTCAGGGAGTTATTTGGACCAGTTATTTACTTAACTGCCATGTGCTAATCCTTTCACACAATTTTTCAGGTGAAGAGTCTGCATATTTTATGAGGAAGACCCTCGAGGGCTTATCAGATATGCAAGATTTACCTGATGAAGGATTTCCTTACCGGAAGCAGGTAACTGTACTATACTTGTCCTGGAGCGGAATGATCATATACTGGATTCTAGATTAGGGTACAAATACTTCAGATATTGATGTCATTTGTAATCTCTTATCTTGGCATCATCATTGATCATATAGTATTTTGTCTCCATTGTTACAGAAATATAATATTCTTGACCATAGAACGTCAGTAACAATATTAGGTTTCGTATATGGTGAGTTGTTCTAAGAAATGAAATGCTGTGAGCATATGCAACTATGTCAATAGATATTAGGCTGTGTTGTTTTTTATTGAAGTCTCAAAATGCTTGATCTTTTGGCTACAGTTCTTGTATAAACCTTTCCTGCTTTTTTATTGACGTAGTGGTGGATCATGCTGTTGGTACAGCAATTGGATACACACAATATCTATTCTGTTATGTAGACGTTTACTCACTTTTAGTCAAAAATGAATGATAGTACGATACACGATGATGCAACATGTCACTGTATTAGACATTGCTTCTGTTAGTCACGTTCTGTAATTTCCTGACTGTTTATTTGACTGATGTTATCTTTATTTGCGATCTACAGTTGCATGAGTGTGTAGGATCAGCCGTTGGTGCAATGGGACCTGAAACATTTTTGAGCATTGTTCGTTTAAACCTTGAAGCTAGTGATCTGTCTGAGGTAAAAGTTTGGCTCTTCCCAATCTTGAAGCAGTACACAGTTGGAGGTCGCCTAAGTTTCTTCACAGAGACTATTTTTAGTATGGTCGAAACAATGAGCCAGAAAGCTCAACAGGTAATTTTTATTATTTCCCGCTGTTTGATGATATATGCTTATCTTTATTATTCTTAAATTTTGCTAATTGTGATGGCAGCTCAAGCTACAAGGTCTTCCTGTTGCATCTAGGAGTGTGGATTCTCTCGTATATTCATTATGGGCTTTGTTACCTTCATTCTGTAATTATCCCGTGGATACTGTGGAGAGTTTTGCCGATCTGGGGCGAATATTATGTGGAGTTCTTCAAACACAGGCTGAGACCCGTGGAATTATATGCGCCAGTTTGAATATTCTTATTCAACAAAACAAGGATGTTGTTGAGGGGAAAGTACCTACTAATGATGCTAGTCCTGCTATTCAACGAGCTACTGCTCGTTATGATTCACAGCATGCTGCAGCTAATTTGAAAGTTCTGCGGTTGTGTGCTCCTAAATTATTGGATGTTTTGACAAGGATATTTCATGAATCTGGCAAAGATGATGGCGGTTCTCTTCAGGTAATTCAGAACCTTAGAGGGCAGGGTA